TGTGTGTGTGTGTGTGTGTGTGTGTGTATGTATGTATTTGTTAATGGCAATATTGATTTGTGGTTTCAGGTATGGAGCAATATTCAGGACTAGTTTGGTGGGAAGACCAGTTGTGATATCCACAGATTCTGATCTTAATTACTTCATTTTCCAACAAGAGGGACGTTTGTTCCAAAGCTGGTATCCAGAGACCTTCACCGAGATCTTTGGGAAGCAGAATGTGGGGTCCTTACATGGTTTCATGTACAAGTACCTCAAGAACATGGTGCTCAATCTCTTTGGTCCTGAAAGCCTCAAAAAGATGCTTCCTGAAGTTGAACAAGCGGCAAATGGAAAATTACGACAATGGTCGAACCGGGGTGTGATCGAATTGAAAGAAGCAACTGCAAGGGTAATTAGTTTTGGACTAACTAAATATTCTTCTTTTCATAGAAACTCAATCATCAATGTGTTGATGTTCTTCTAAGTCTGATTGTATAACTGGCATCTGCAGATGATATTTGACTTGACAGCTAAGAAACTGATCAGTTATGATCAAGAGAAATCGTCGGAGAATCTACGGGAAAATTTTGTTGCATTCATCCAGGGTTTAATCTCTTTTCCTTTGAACATTCCTGGAACAGCTTACAACAAATGTTTAGAGGTAATAAATCAAAAAGCTGTATCTAAAGTCCCTTTTTGGTCTATTATATTGGCCTTGACCCCTTTATATATTATTTATTTATTGATCTCAGGGTCGAAAAAGGGCAATGAGAATGCTGAAGAAGTTGCTACAAGAAAGAAGGGAAAACCCCAAAAAGCAGCAAAGTGATTTTTTTGACTATGTCCTTGAAGAACTTCAGAAGGAGGGAACAATTCTCACTGAGGCAATTGCTTTGGATCTAATGTTTGTTCTTCTCTTTGCCAGCTTTGAAACAACTTCCTTAGCCTTGACTTTAGCCGTTAAGTTTCTCACTGACCATCCTCTCGTGCTAAAGAAGTTGACGGTATGTAAACATGCATACAAAACCTTTTTTCTTTTTTTTTT